ATCCAAAAACTACTGGATGCTAGTTAGTATTTATTTATTGTTTTTATCATATGCATACATAGTCTTTATCAGGAGACTCACTTACTTCGTTAACTGTCTCTTACCTGTTGCCATCTGGACTACTGAGAAAGCGTGCTACACAATCCGTCACCAACCGTCAGGCAACCGCCAATAACGTATATTTTGTGTTTTATATTAATTCATCATGTATAATATATTTTAGCTGCAACAAGCAATCGGTGCTCCCACAGGTTCCGTAGGTGTCATCAGCATCAGCAGTACAAAAGCAACCGGTAGTAAAGGTCGACGTCGCCGCCGCCGCCGCCGCCGCCGCGAGTAATTTTGTTTTTAATTGATTTCTCTTAATAATATGTGACTATGACTTTACATGTAGCGTTCAATGCGATAAAGTGGATCGCTCAGGTGTTGCTATTGTCTTTGATATTGCATTGGCTTATCCACGAAGTTTATCATGCCAATCGTTGACCTGTAAAGTCAGTCTATTTACTGATATACATGGAAAACTCAATACTGTGAACGATGTCAGTATTACTCCGGACGATGGAAGCATTTTATCTGTAGAACTTTGTCACGTTCAATCTTATGCTAATGGCAATCCGAACAATGAAAATAGTTCCAGCGGCGTTGTTATCGGTGAGCAGGCTATTTATTTTATTATTTATCTAAAGGCACTGATGCATCTTTATCCAAACTAGAATTTAGACGGAACAGATTCAGATTCAGATCATACTACAAAAAAATATATGAATCAAACATTTTATATAAGAAAAACAGAAGCTACAGATTAGATAATGACCGTTTTTATCGTGAGTATTGAGAGAATAGATATAGATTTACGGACAATAGAACCTATCCAAGTATGGTACTCCATTCTTAGTTACACGATCCAGACATGTTATAGTACCAAATTAAAATTCAAAACTTTTAGAGTGCCTTATAACAATAATCAATATCATATTATTCATATAGACGGGTAACACTCAAATACCTGCATTAAAATCAAGAACTATCGGATATTTAAAACGTCTAAAATCATAACTAATTCGACACTAAAATTCTGAAAATCGCATTTTAGCACTATTCTATCTCTTTTTATAGTATTAGTATTCTCTTGTTAAGCAAAACTTGATTTTCAAAAATTTAAACATGATATTCGTAATCGGTGTGAAAATATACATTGAGTAATATGCTTATTCTAATAAAAAGGAGATCAAGAGTTGTCGAACGATTACTGAGAGCAATGCCAGACTAAAAAAAATCATTTGAATGAATATTATAAACCTGAATTCTACAAAATGTTCCTCAAGAGTCGACTTGTTATATCTGTAAGTTATAGAGCTGAGAAAAATCACTCTAATGTATTTTGCTGCTTATTTTATAACAGATGTAATTTATATATGTAAGCCTATTCTTTTTCAGAGTCTTGTACAATCGTCTGTCAAAATGGTGGTCAATGCACAGGTCCCACAACGTGTGGATGCACCACAGGATGGACTGATGACACATGTGAAACTGGTAACTTAAATTCAGAGTTTACTTAATTCTGATAATTTCTATTTTTTTCTTCCAGCTGTATGCACAAGTGGCTGCGAAAATGGTGGCACATGTACGGCTCCTGATACATGTATATGCGCAACCGGTTGGAGTGGTACAACGTGTATAATTGGTTAGTAAAATTTAAATTGGAGATGTTTTCCAATCATTTCTATTCTTGAGAATTAGGATGTAAGAATGTAAATGAGAATATGCGACAGTATTCGTTTGCGTATAAGGTTAAGAAATAAAATCATAGTGGCGGTCTGGGAGAATCTTTTCGTAACGTTATTTCCCCAACCCTCGCGACATGTTCCGTCTGGGCAATTTCATACTCGTTGGTTCCGATATAGTTTGGTGGACGTTCTCACTCTTACCAGCTTGGTTCTACTACGAAATTACTAGTCAAAATAAGAGATTTACTTTGATATGTTATTCATTTAATCAACTAAATAAGTATTTTCTATCACAATCTAATAACTTTCTCTCGATAGTACAGTTTTTTTTCGAAAAAGAGAAAATTGTGAATTTACAAGGCTTAAAAAGATTTTAGCGCCAGATTCATACTGGGCCAATTAATTTCTTTCAGTTGTTGCAGTAGACATATAACTATAAAGAAATATACTATAAAAGAGCAGGAACAAAGAAATCCATATGAATGTATTCAAAGTCAGATATGTTGTTAATCGATCGAGAACTAGTAAATTATGAAGAAAATCTCATTCAGTCTTTCTGTTTCATATAGAATCGACAACGTCATCAGTAACAACCACGGCAACGACAACTACGAAAGCAACAACGAAAACAACCACGAAGACTACTACAAAACAAACAACGAAGACAACTACAAAAGCGACCACAAAAACAACTACAGAAACAACCACGAAAACAACTACAACAACTATATCAATTACCACAACAAAAACTACATCAACAACCCCAACAACTACAACTACAACATCAATTACAACCACAGCAACTACCACCACTGAAACAAGTACTACGACGACAAGTACTACAACA